CTTTTATGTTGTACCGGTATTCATCCTTTATGTTACCATAGATCCGCCAAATAACTGTAGCAAATCAGGTTAAAAGTGGATAAATAAAGGATAGATATCGGGATAATAAAGGGATCCCGGTATGTATCCTTTATGTATTTATTGAACCAGTGTATATTGATGCAAACTATTATTATTATAATAGTTACAATCTTATAAAATCAATAAATATTGGTTTTATATATCAGTATGATTACGTCTCATTTCCCAATGACTATTTCTTCTACAACTATTTACCTAACATCACGTTGGGTGACAATTCATTAAGAATACATACAACTAATAAAATGCTAAATAGTTATCTGAGTGATGTAGAGTAAATGACCTGTAAGAGAAATAATTATCAGGGAAATGAGCATATACTATTAGGATAGCATTACACATGTATCCTTATAAAAAAAGTATCCTCTTAAATAATATCAAAATACTACTAGTATTTAAATTTAATTTTATTTATTATATAAAAAAACTTCGCAATTCTTATAAAATTCAACAAAAGGATACATAACAAGTATGGCGCATAATGAAATCAGCAGATTCTTGAAAATTTTTGCTTGTAAAACAAATTTTTAATTTGCATTTCACAGATTCTTTATATAGATTTTAAATACTGGTACTACACATTTATAGATTCTAACATTTTTAAAAAATTCTTAGAAATTCTGATATTTTTGTTATTCTGATAATTTAAATTACAGAAAAAAGAATAACAAATTTTTGAACGATTTTAAGTTCAAAAAATCGGAAGTAGCTTATTTTTGGGTAAAAGCAGATTTTGCTTGATTACAAAAAATTTTACTAAGTATATAGAATAAGTAAAGTATTAGAATAGCAAAAATAGTTAGAATTTCTGCAATTCTTAATTGCTGTATATAGAGCAGGCTTTTCTAAAATAAAGGATAACTCTCCTCAAGTTTAATATTTTTTACTTTATAATTCTTACAATAAATAAAACTTATACCGAAAGAATTAGTGACTAAATTCTATAACGTAATCTAGAGCTTTAATTGACCTAGTTACTTGGACCAAATTTATTCAGCTTTTATATTTTGATCTATATCTGATTTAGAGGATTTTTAATCAACTAATATTATTATAAAGAAAATAACTAAGCATGTATTCAATATTATATACAATTAGCTTAAAGAATCAATCTTAATTTTGTGATATTATATTTAATTCAAATTGCTTATAAATAATATATAAAAACATAAAAACATAAAAATAGTACAAATACAATATATTGATATTGATTTTTGCACTAATTGATAATAATAAAAGAAAATCATATAACGCCTTTAAATTCATAAAGCTCTACTAGTCATATTATCATTACGACTTGCCATATAATAATTGCTTATAGAGAATTTTTACTTCCATATTTTATAAAAACCGTATCTTTTATAATAATCATTTAGACTATTAAACATAAGAGTATTTCAATATTTAATGATCTTAACCTAGAATTATCTTTGAATTATTATTAGTTTATAATGAATTCTTTTGCTATAATATAACGTTAAACAAATATCAAAAAAATATATATATAATATTTACCATTTGTTAATTAATCGTCAATATTCATTTCAAAAGCTGATATATTATCTGCATTAGAAGCTTCATAAATTTCTTCATTTTCACTATCAATAATTTCGCTAATATTATTATAAATTTCTTTCTCTATATCTTGATCAAATTCACTATACTCATCATCCTCTTTAGTGATTACTTCATTAGATTTATCAGTATTATTAGTTCTCTTACTAATTTCAAATTGATCCAAGCTATTACTGTTTTTTTAGATTTGTTCTCATTATTATACATTCGCAAATTTCCATATATGCAAACCAGTTTTTTAACACGATCCTTATGTAATCGATTTCGAATTTTGCTATGAATAAAACCAAAATTAGAAAAATTCTGTTTAGCTGCAGCTGATGACGTTGGAATTTGAAGAATTTTAATTGCTAACTGTTGAAGATTTGTATTTGGCCATGATTGCCACCAGGTTGATGGAGTAAGTGTATTGCAGATTTCCAAATAATTTCATTGTCATAAGGAGGATTTTTGTTTCGAAATGTAACTAATTCAACAAATAATTTAACAGACTTATTTTGTTCAAATCTGTTATTGCAATATGTTGTAAATGTATTATACCCCATAGCTTCGACGTTAAAATCTTTACTTTCATCTAAAAATCGTGGATCCATCATATAAGCAACTATCATAATATCATGATAGGCATAGTTCTAACATTCTTCTACAAGTATTTGAATTTCATTTAAAAAAGTACTAGGAATTTTTTGAAGAGAATTTTTCATCTTTCTGAAGTTAGAATAAATAGATGAAAGTGTAGACTCATTAGATTCGAATAATTTTAATATAGTAACTATTGGAGTTAAAATATCTGTTACTAAATTAAGATTTTCCCAAAATTCATCTTGCAGCACATGTATTCTTAAATTCGAATCCATGGTTTGACGAATTTTTAAATCCATTAATGTTTGCTCAATTGCAATTTGTGACTTTTGAAGTGATTGAAAGCATTCAAGATGTGTACCCCATCGTGTAATAGCTGGTATAACTAGTGCAACTTCTTTGTTGTAATTATCATATTGAATCCGCTTAAGTTTTGCTTTAGCTTGTGCATGTGATTTAAAATATTTAACTAATGCTTTTGCATTATCTGTTACATTTTTTATTTCATCAATTTTTAGAATATCTTTTATTAAAAGATTTGTAATGTGAGATGCACAGCCAAAACAAGAAATATGTGGGTGTTCTTCTTCAATAATTCTCCAGGCCGCTTTCATTACATTAGCTGTATCCGTAATAACTGTGGAAAATCTTTCAACATTAATAGTTTTCATTTGCTATATTATTTGATCTGCAATTCACTCTGCTGTATGAGATTCTTCACCTGAATATGTTGCATCAAAAAAAAAGGGCTTAGCCGTACAAATAATAAAATTTTATACTGATTCTTGATTGACGTTTGACCAACCATCAGATACCATATACAAACTTTGCGCTTGTAAAATTTTTTTATCAGATTCAGCTTTTACATTCTCATATACTTTATCCAACAATTCATTTGCTAATTTTTTTCGAGTTGGTAACTTGAATGCAGGACGAATGCGTTGAAAGAACTTAATAACATATGGATTTTCTATAAAAGCAAATGATGTTCCTGTTGCGAATATTGCTTGTGCTAACATAAACTCGAGTGTTTCTTGTTCATTTTCATTTACATTATCAATAAAATTATCAATCGGCATAGTTTTTTGATATTTTTGGGTAGATTTACCAGATGTAGTTGAATTTTTCCGCTTAAGATTTGCTTTTGCATTATTTGGTGCTTTCAAACAGCTATTAAGATGCATTTGTATTCGGGAAGCAAGTCCACGTTCAAAAGTTTTTGAACAATAATTACACTTAACACGAGGATGTGGTTTGGTAATGTTTTTTTTAGGTAAAGTTTCATCATTTTCTTCAAAACAGTCATCAGAATGGTCGTCAGAATTATCTTCAGAACAGTTTTCATAGCTAGCTTCAGGTTGATTTTTTGTATTAAGAATTGTCCAGTGTTTCCATACATTGCCTTTTGCTTTTCCCATTATGCAATTGTATGTTAATTTACATATTTAAAAATTAAAAGTATTTATAAGAAAAATTTTATCATTAACGATTAATTTTTTTTGTTTTACAGGATTCAAATTGTAAATTATAATATGTCGTTTCAGAATTAAATTGAGTATAATTGACAACCGTGTCTTATACTTAATCAATTTATGTATTTATGATCAAACTGAAACATGCATAATCGCCCTCCCAAAGACCAATGCATATAACCATATTGAATAAAATATTATCACGATGCCCGGTTTCATAATTAAAGTATAATTGACAATCGTGCCCCATACCTAATCAATTTATGTATTTATGATCAAACTAAAACATGCATAATCACCTCCCAAAGACCAATGTATATAACCATATCGAGAATAAAATATAATCACGATGCCAGGTTTCATAATTAAATTTAGAGTATAATTGACAATTGTGCCTCATACCTAATCAATTTATGTACTTATAATCGAACTAAAACATGCATAATCACCCTCCCAAAGACCGACACATATAACCATATCAATAATAAAATATAATCACCATGCCCAGGTTTCAGAATTTCGGAAGTAAAATAACAAGTTTGAGGTTTTGTGTTAGAAAAAAAAAGATTGTTAGTAATGTAGTAAGATCTAAAAATAGATAAATATAAAAGTGACTTACCCGATTAGTGTCTAATAACAATTGATAGTAGAAAAAATAAAATAGTGAGAGAAAAGTTGCTAGAAGCCTTAAAATAGAATAGATAGTTAGTAAAGTAAGAATATATAAAAGTAGTAACAAAATATCAATAAAAAGCTTATCTTTCGTAGTCCAATAATTAAAAAAATTTCTAATTTCTTATATATAAATATCATAGCAAGAGATAAATCGGTTATAGTCGAATATAGATTTATGGGGAATTTACACATAAAGGCCCAAAAATTAAAATAATTACGGATGAGGGCCCAAAATAAAAATTCTTACAGCATCGCTCAGAAAAAATGGCAGCCAGATTTTTTTCTGGTTTACATATGACTTCGAAAACCGATTACCGGTAAAGTTATGTTTGATTTTTATTTTGACCTTTGTTTTGACTTACACTTGGTCTTCGCTTTAACTTCGCTTTGATTTTTACTTTGATTTGCTTTGACTTTGACTTTCGCTTTGACTTTCACTTTGACTCTTGCTTTGACTTCACTTGAATTTTCGTTTTGACTTTGACTTTCACTTTGACTTTCACTTTGACTCTTTTTTAGCTTTCACTATACCTTCCTCTTTGACTTTCGTTTTGACTTTGATCTTCTTTTTGAGTTTCGTTTTGACTTTCAATTTTATTTCGAGAATTTTTGCCATGTTGAATTCACAAAAATATAATTTTGATCAATAGTTTAAATAAGCTATTTAAATTCGTGAATATTTCATACTTTGCTTCTTGTTTATTAATGTTAATTTAGCTAGTAAATACAAAGGATTTTAATGCCCAAAATAACGTGTTATTTAGTTATATATAAAGATCTTTTTAATTAATGCGTTAAAATTCGTAAAGTTATAAGTTTGTTAGCGAGATTCGTGAATAGTACCTTTATTTTTTTCGCGTAAAAATATCACTTGCATCTTAAAACTATTTAGTGATATTATATAATTATTTTAATCCAGCTACCATTTTTTTCTGCGCGACTCAATGTGTCTTGTGGCTTAGTAGTCTAGTATAGCTCGGAGATCGGGCATGCCTTTATTTGTAATAATTTTTGTTTTTGGGCCGCTAAATGCAAGAATTTTTATTTTGGGCCCTCATCTGTAATTATTTTCATTTTGTGCCTTTATGTGTAAATTCCCCTAGATTTATTGTAAAATTTTGCTTATATCCAACCAGTGTTTTCATATCTACTATGTTCAAGACTTTTTAGATTATGTCCAACGTTCTAAAGTTCACATGTTCAAGAATGTTCGCAGCATAATTAAAAAATCTAGGATTATATGTTTTTTTATAGTGCTGAATAAATTTTGTTTAGGGAGTTAAAATAGGTTAACTTAATAAAATTTTGAGTAATTTTAATTTATTTGTTTGTTTAAAAATGTTCAAAAGTGTTCAAGCTTATGATTACAACTGTTTTATATAACAATATATTCAACTATTTAAAATATAACTATTATTTATATAGTATTTTAATTTTTTAAATATACAAAAAAAGTAACAAATAGATTTTTATAACAAAATTTTAAAAATATCAAGGTAGTTAATCTAATCATAATTAATTGTATGAATTTTTTTAATATATCAATTGTTATTGGTTAATATGTTATATAAAAATATTATACCAATTATACCAGATTCTTTTAATTATTCTATACCAATTATACTGGTTATTATACTATTTTTATTATACAGTATAATATAATTGCCCATCCCTAGTGTAAGGATGTTGATATTGCCAAATATAGAGGTGATGGGATGTTGGTGTTGCCTCTGAGTCACCCCAACCAGAGGTTTACATGTGTGATCTTCTACTATCTAGACTTTCTGTGATATCGCTATCACATGTAGAGCCTTTACTACACAATCTGGTCTCTTTCTGGGAACTTCTTATTTTGGTTTCATACTGCACTTAGACTTTCTACAGAGCTTCGCATCTGATTATAGCTCCTGTAGATTATAGAAACAAATTTTTAATTTGCCTTCAGCCTAACTCGAACCATTGACCTAGTCTGTGGGGGTTTAAGAGCTTAACCAATAAGCTATAAGATCCAAACTCCTGCAATCACTTATTTTATAACTATATAACTTAATAACTTAAAAAGTATATATATAAGGCCCATAATCACGTGAAAGTAGAGGATAGTGTTTAAGGATAGTCTGTAGATTTGCTTTTATGTTTTCTTGATATTTTAAATTTTTTTAAAAATTTTATTAATAATTTCTTGATAACCACTAAATCAAATTCTATAAATTTTTTATTTTAATACTACAACCCTATAAAAAAATAGTTAAGGATATAGCACAGGTTGGTTTCAGAAATGCATGAAATGATATGAGTATTCAGTATATATAGATATGTTTTATAATATAAAAATGATCCAGAAATTACAGAAAGAGGGTGGTATATTGTGTCATGTAATACATACAGGAACATAATTTTATATTAGTTATACAATTTGTCATACAAATCATTTTATAATAGTAGGTCAAATGATTGACACACCCAAATTTTATAAGTAAAATTTTGCTTAAATTTGCTTTCTATACTTATTTGACAATAAAAAAGTTGTTGGTGTAATTTCTAGGCATCATTTTGCAAATTCTCTAGCATTCGAAGATTCTTTCTGTGAAATTTTAAGGGTGGTTAAAAATAAAATCCAAAAGAATCATAACCACAAAGTTGAGCAATTTTTTGATGATTTTTACTATTTTTTTATAAGTGATATATGTT